AAACAAAAGGAATTATAAGACCATCTAGGTGTTTATCAGTAGGACAGCAACTGGTTTTCACAGGCGGACAAAACTCTTTGAACTGAAATTCTTTATAAGACTTTCCTCTAGATGGTCAAATCAGGTGGGCAAAATCATCCTCACAGCTGGTCAATTTGCCCGTGCCTGGGCCAGATAGAAACTCCTGAGACCATCTCCTAAAAATTAGCTGTCCAAATTGTAGACCTATGCAGCTCTCTGATATCACAACTCCGATTAAAAAAAATAGCGGGTTTTTAACTGTTATCGACTTACTCAACTCTTTATTGACCTTGAAGTAATATATCAAACACGAAAGACCGTGTTTGACCACATTTCCAAAAACAGTCAAGAGAGTTGAAAATGCAGTGTGTAGCTCAGTATTTTTGACGAACTTCCAGGTGTTTGGAAATGTGGTCAAATACTGTGTTGAGTGTTTGACATATCTTCCCAATCGAAACTAAAACTAAGGAGAGAAGAGAGACGTCAAATCATAAAACAAAGTAATGGTCATGATTCCCTTTGTTCAAATTTGATGAACTATTAATGAGTTTGAGAAGATCTTACCAGGTTCATGAATCAAATAGTGAGTCCAGCCTGGAGACTGTTGTACCCCAAGGTTACGCCACTCACTTTCTGTCATCAAGTGGGTCCTGGGAACTAGTTCTGCTAAATCTTTGGGAAGAATCACATGCCTGGAGCAAGTAAAAGTAGCGACAAATGCAAAAACATATATATAATCAGTGCTGTTAGACTGGCATGACACAAGGACCTTTGACTTTTTCTTGCCTCTTAGAAAGTGTATGTCTGTGTGATCTTGTACAATTTTTGTCAGCTGTAGTTTGTTGTTAAAAGGTTCTGCAATTCTAGCATGCAAAGAAAGTTGTGTCAGATAGCCTGGAGCTGATCAACTTCACCGTGTGGGTAGCTGATTCCATCCTTCACTTATCCAAGCCATCGAGAAAATTCAAATTAAAGAAGAACTTTAAAAGACCAAATTTACTGTTTTAGTGAGTATTTTGAGGGGTAGTGGCTACTACATTCTAGTTACAGTTTGCTCAAAAGGGCAAGCGGTAAAACTGATTTTCTTTGCAATCTGAATTCTGGCTTCAGCATTGTTCAATTATATTTGTGCAAATTTTGCAATGTTGCTTCCTCGTATGAACCAAGGTCTTTTTTGACAGCTGGGCAGGGCAAGACAACCACGCAATTTGTAGTGCTTGACATTGTTACTACGACTCAACAAGAATTTTTGAGAGAGATCAGATTCTGCAAATATACTTATTACACAGCTTTTCTTATATGGCTAGTCACTTTCTATCCTGGCCTTCTAAACAACAACAACAACAACAAAAACAGTGGCAACAACTTTATTAACGTGTCTAGGCTGAAACCCTCTCCTAATTGGGACTATTCACAAGTTCTAAAGAAGACAGAATCATAGAACGTGTTGGTTGATCTAAATTCAGTCGGACTAACTCAGTAAAGTCAAACGTCGAACTTTTCATAAACTTAATTCGCTCATTTTAGTTCGTCTCATGTGAAGTTCGACGTTTGGCCTGAGAGCTCCCGAGTTTATTACTTTGTATTCAAATCCAAGTTGTCATCAACTACGAACGATGACAAAAACATCTAGGGAATAAACTCTAGCAGATTGTAATGACAACTCTATTCTCATATAGCGTCCCTATTCGAAATTCGAAACTGAGAAGAACAATCTACTCATGAATTGAGGATCGAACAACCTTACCTGTATTCGTAGTGATCGTCTGAGTACTTGTCAGAGTAGCATATTTGCTTAACCGGCATTTCCTTGATTATCTTCGAAGCTGACTGCTAAAAAGAAGAAGAAACAATTTCTGCAACCACTTGACAGCCACTTCGCTTTCTTTCAAATTCTGTTGTTTTCAGTTGAAAATGGCGGTCGCACAGACACGACAAGCGAGGTTCCCAAGCCGCGTGGTGAGAGTTCAGCGTTCGATCGTAGTTACCACAATCTTTTTGGCGAGTTTTGTCGCATTTTCAATCGAAAATAGGTTGTAATGAAATTTTAAAACTTCTCAAAACGGTATGATTTCCAAAAACGCATCAAAATGACCCTTCCAATTAGTTTTCTCACATTAATTAGTAGCTGACTACTTTACTCAGCATACAAATTCTCTACATTTGAATGTGGCGGGAAATTCGAGTGGGAACCGGGAAACGTCGCGACTTGAAATTGAAAGAAATGAGAAAATGACATTGTTCATTTCTCGGCATGACTACACATCATTACCGAGGCCACAAATAGCACAAAAGAATGTATTTGATGTTAATTTATAAAAAGAAAACGTTTGCGCCGCCTAAAATTTATTAAGAGAGAAAAAAAGCGAAGTCTTGTTCTAAATATGCTTGATTTCCATTGATCGCTAGGCCGCCATTTGGAGACCGCAGCCGTGGGTCAAAATGCCAGCTAAATTGTTACAGCAGAAATTCAGGTGAGCCATGCCAAAAGTTATTTGCTATGATTTCTCTATTTCCCAGAAGCTATTTTATAATTACCATATGTATTATTAAATGGCATATAAGCTCAAATCAAATCGATGTATGCCATTTGGGATTTGGAGCTAGGTTTTGTTGTCGGAGTGATGGATCTTCATGTTGATACGTGCTGCTTATGACAAAAATTGTTCATAAAAGGTGTTGGGGGAGGGCACAAAGTGTTAAAGGTAGGTAAGGCACTCCATAAAATCAACTTTTTTGACACTCCATAAAATTTGTGCAAAGCTTTTACCCAAATCAGCCCAGGCATTTTTTATCTTCCAGGACTGGGGGATGACTTATAACATCTTGTCACACAAACATACTTGCCTTTAAAAATGTTTATTACAGCCATATTCAATGAAAAGTAGCCACCTTGTTAACTGTTTATGTTTCTTAATATTTCATCATACATCCAGTGAGTTCTTATGAAACAATGCGCATGTACAATGCATGTGTGAACATTAGGTAAATAGTATTCTGTTTCCATATAATAAACCTTTATTGACCAAATTTCCCACTTGGTCAATAATCCATAGATATTGATCTAAGCAACCTACAATACCAGGAGTTTCATTAAGGGCCGGTCACCGGGCACCGGGCAAATTGACCAGCTGTGAGGATGATTTTTCCAAGCTGGTTTGACCATCTAGTGGAAAGTTTTTCTTACAAAGAAGTTCAGATCAGATAGTTTTACCTACCTGTGAAAAGCAGTTGCTCTCCTGCTGAAAACATTAACGAAACCCCTGCAATACATGTATAGTATGAAGTGGTGGTTGAATTTGTTAATTAACAAACTAGCCATGTATGTTGTGATACTACAAGTTGATTATTTGACTGAAAGGTATTGTTAAAAAAGAAAAGCAAGCAAACTTTTTTTTATGTAAAACAGTTGACCAGTATTCTCATCTTTGAAGAACTATGCATGATCTCATGATTTAAGTCAGGGGATGTAGAGGGCCAAGAATAATCAGAAACTATTGGCTGCAATATACAATTTTGGTTTACTGTTTACATTCTCTCAGCCAATCAAGCTGCTTGTCTAATCTTAGATTGTTTGAAACATTGAAACATAACTTTACAAGAAGTCAGGTTTCTTGGGTTATGTTTTCATTAAGTTTGACTGGGTCAGTACTTGTTTTAAAACTTTAATGTACAGTAGCTCTTAGAAAAATCAAAACATAACAGGAATAAAATTAGTAAGGATAGAAAGTGATCAGTTGATGAACTGATCTTAAGATTCACCATAACTTAAACCAAGTTCTTTACTTCTTAATAATATTGCTGATTACAATTGATAATAATTATTTGCATTATAAGGTCGGCATATTGTTTACATTACAGTTCTGAGCTAAATAATATAGAAAACGTTCCCACTCTTACTTAAAAAATAATTCATATTACATGTACAACCAAGCTACCACTTATTTAAGATCTTTCATATTTACTTACAGTCTACCAGTAGTTATAGTATGTACATAGGTTAGTATGAAATTTGTTTTCTGACAAAATTAATGTGAGAACTGTTTAACGTGAAATTTATTATTATTTTCTGTTCATGAATGCATTGAGTGTTCATTACCATAATATGAAATTTTCCCTCTTTATCCACTGCCAACTTTAAAGGGTTTTAACAAGAGCATATAATGCCATGCTTGATACATAATGTTTTACAAGAGATAAGAAATAACTTATGCGAGAACACTGTTCAATTAAATAACACTACCATTTTTAGATGCATGGCTGCCTAACACATAATATTAATATTTTAGCTTACGAAAAGCATTGTGTACAGTACAAATTATGGCAAACAAAATGTGAATCAACTTTGTTTTTTGATACTTACAGGTGTCCAAACAATAAAGGCTAGAAACTCTTATCTTGAAAAATGTACCTAGAAAACACTCTGTAAGAGAGCACTCACTAAGAGCTGTACTTCTATAATTTAACTTGACCAATGCTGTGGTCTAAAAAAAATTATGATCACTTCAAAGGTTTGTGACCATGAAATCCCGGGTGCCCAGCACTCAAGCTTACAAGAAAAAAGTAGGTTTTTCCAGTCACCCAAAGGCAAAAGTTAGTTGCCTGTGCCACCCAGGTGGGAGAAAAGAGAATTTACATTCTAATGATCAAAGTGAATGAGTGACTTCCATTCTTGACTTCTCACAGTGTTTTCCTTAAAGAAATAGAAAACATTTTCACCATGATCCTAATGAAATAAAGGGACACTTGTGAAAGATCAGGAGAACTTGAAAAGGCTGTGGAAAACTGCATCTTGTGTACTTGCACCATTTCTTGTTCTACCAAACTACCACTTGTGTTGTTATAACTTAAAAAAAAAAAAACAACAACAAAAAAATGGAAAACCTTTTCTATTTCTTACATGTAAGCACAATTTATATTTCCTAAATGGGTGTTTTGTTATAAATGACACCATCTTAAGGCCATTGTGGTGTTGACTTTGTAGGTAAACTTTTTTTTTTTTTACATTTTACAAGTTTTAGCTTTTACTGTCTTTTATGTTTGTATGAAAAAAAAAAAAAACCACACAGAAGTGTTCCAAATGGTTAACTTATGATTAATATTAAATCAAATACAAAAGATTTGATGTGAACTGCATTATGATATGCCAGTATTTACAGCTTGATTTGCCATGTGCACTGGTTAGGAAACTGATTGACTCGCTGACATCATAGGGAAACCATTCACTTCTCCGTTTTGCCTTCCAGTCATGGGTGATTGACTTGCTAGCATCCTAGGGTAACCATTTATTGCTCTATTTTGCATACCATTCGAGGATGAATATGGTGGCTGTAAAGTTAAATTAAAACAGGTCAGTTACCACTTAATTAATAAAATCAACTAATAACCAGAACTTGGGTATACAGTCACACCTCCACCAACAAGGCTCTAGGACTGTTTAGGTAAAATTCTAACATCTGATGCAGCATTGAAACAATGATGTTGAGGGTGATAAAATGAAGAATGACATAACTTGTGTTGAAATTCTGACAGCCATGTAGGGACCTTCTGAAGTTACAACATGACAAAAGTTTGAAATTAAGAAAAGGAAAATGCACTCAAAAGGGCCTGTTTGTTTGGTGGGAGGTTGTTGCTAACACTAAGTTTTGTGGCAGATAAACTTAACTTTGCCTTTGGTTTACACTGTACACATAATTTCTCAGGCAGTGTTACATGCATAGCTAGCTTGCTCATCATAGTTTGTTGTGGTATGGTAAAATAAAATAGCATACTCAACCACACATTTTGTAACAAAAAATCAGGGCAACTACACAATCAATTGGTCTAAAAGTTTCAATGTTTTTGACAGCCAAAGGAAAACAAAATATGCCAGAAGGTCAGTTCAAATGTCCCTTGCAAAAAGAAGTGGCAGAGTGGTAAGAGCCCTTGCCTCCCAACAGTGTGGCCCACGTTTGAATCCAGACCCAGCATCATACATGTATTTTTTAGTTATTATTCCTTTTGCCAATTTTTTGGAATGATGTTTCGTTAGGTTGAAACAAAACAAAAGTGCAGCACTAACACTTCCTATACATATGAAATTATATCACATTTTGTACCTTGTTGCCATTGGCAACTCCACTGGCCAAGAACATGGATGTGATATCTGTGAAGTGACCAGCCTCTTGAGAATAGTAAGGTGGAGGTGCATTGGGTGGGGGAGGAGTGTAGTACGCAGAGCCATTCTCTGAAGGTCTGGAGGGTGTGGCTTCTTGAATGCCAATCTAAAAGGAATTTGTTAATTAGTATTTAGATAACATAAGAAAAATATTGTATGTCCACTACCAAGTTCTATGATAGCAAGCAAAAATTGACTGATTTAGCCACAAAATCTGAGAGCAACTTCCAACTGTACTCAGTTGCAAGTATGTTTGTTTCACAAAGCAAGTACTTAGCTTCCAAATTGAAGGGTGGTGAATGTAGATGTACCCAAGAATTGGAGGAAGCAGAGGCCGTTCTTGCTTGTAGGTTGGCAGCGGAGGGAGGGGGGGGGGG